ATCTGCCAGTCTTCAGAAATGAACATACTAGAAAAAATCCTTCTGCTAGGTTGTGAAGCAGAAAAGTATTCAGAAAGTTGAAACTCATTGGATCAAGTAAATATAATGGTATTTATTCTGTGAAGTACTGCAACATCAGCTCATGAAAAGCATCACATAAAATTGAGATAGTATTACATCCATGTCGACTGTAAAACAGAGAAGTTACTTGCTTAATACACTTTCTGAAAGCAATATATTTTCCATGAGATAGATTTGAATGCTGTTTGCAAGAGGCAGAGGCTTCTTTAAGTTATGGTAGTACCATTGTCAGTGACATTTTGTCCTGTTTTACCAGCTATTGGTTTTCAGCCTTTACTCCTTGAGTGTTGTAGCCAACAGACTACATCAAACCTCTGAAAAAATACTCAAATTTGAAGGAGCGTTTAGTGAAATTGAAGGAAAGTGACTTGAAAACATGTAAATTAATTATGTTCTTTTTAAGATATTAACCTTTAAAATAAGAGAATAATAGAATATTAGTATTATTAAATTAGTCTTTGTCTTTAACAACTGTATAAAATTCTTCCAGGTTTCTGATCGACAAACGTACCTTGTGATTTCCCTGGTTCTCTGTGTCATTCTGGGCTTGGTGCTTTGTGTGCAGCGTTGCAGAAGCACATCTCAGTTCTGTGAAGATTACCTCTCAAAAATTCCCAAAAGTAATCACTACCCTAGCCCCAAAAGGTAATGTGTTTGTATTTGAAACTAAGTTGTTCTTGCAGCTTTTATTTGATGTTTCCTAAATCCACTGGGACTGGCACATCTGCTTTAATTCTGAGTCTTCTTTCTGCAAACTCAAAATTGATAGCAAAGAACCATTACTGCTCTGTAGTAACATTCTCCTAGGAGTGTTTTGGGGCTGCTACTCTTAATGTGCCTCAGTAGCTTATTGCAAAGATAGTACTGTGTATGTTTGCTAGGCTTTCTTGTGCACCTGAGTGAATGACTGATTCTGTCATTTTCAATGGAAAAATGTGTATGACAAAGTCCTGAGAAAAATGTGCTTTAAAAAGCTTTGTCAATTTACTTTTTTTTCTTATTCTTCTCCCCCCTAGATGTTTTTCCTCCTATGATGATATGAATTTGAAAAGAAGAACTTCTCTTCCACTGGTCAGATCACAGTCTTTTCAGCTAGCTGGTAAAGAAGGTATTATTCACATACGACACATGCAGTCTCTAGTGTTACTCTATTAGTGCTGTACAATGTGTGTGGTGTTGCCAGTGTATGAAAATGGAATTGCAGGTTAATGTCAAAGTGCACTGGATTGTAGAAGTTCGTGTATATGTTCTGTAGGACAAGGTGCTTCATGAGCAAGTTACCAGACACTCCCACAATTGTGCTAAATTATGCTAAAACATTAAATGTAGTCTTAGCATCCGTAGAGTATAAACAATAGCATTCTTGGGGTTAGCAGCAGTCCATGCAGACATTCAGGTCTACAAAACTGTGAAGCTTGCAAAAAGAGCTATTTTTACTTAATGCCAGTCATGGGAAGTCTAAATGCCCTACTTCCCAGAAGTCCTGATAGCCTGTCTTTGAAACTTGCCAGGTATTTAAGATAAAAATTTATCATCTGTAGTAAGAAAATCTGGACTATCTATCTTGTTTTGAAATGATATGGTCTTTTCAATATTCATGTTACACTTGGGACAACTAAATAATTTTGATTTCTTAGGCCATTGTCATCATGCAAAAACAAAAGTGCAGGTTACAGTAACTACCAAGTATGCAGATGACACTGCTTTTCTAGGTGCAGCAAACTTGCTTCATGGGTTTTTCTATTGTGAATAAAACTGCATGAGCTGCATTGGGACTGTTGCAATAGAGTGTAGCTAAGGCATAGACTTATGTTTTTGCAAAACCACGCTTTTACCAAATTATCTCCTGCTTTGCCTTGTAAGAATGATTTATAAAGCTCTGGAGGGATGTCAGGCTGGTCTCATATTAGTCTGAACATTTACGTCCATGACAGGTACATGTGCTTCTAGTATCTGTCCTGTGGTGGGCAGGCCATGCACATTAAACACCACGGTGTTGGTAACAGTTTGTTTTTGTAGAAGCAAACTTCTGCCAACTGTTGTTCCTTTTCCCCCAAAGGGTGTTCTCTGCACCTCTCCTGTGGCTTAATCTATCGGGGGGTCAAGTGTATCACTGACAGCTGCAATGGCAACACAGAACGCCTCGCTGTCTGCATTCATGTGTTGTACCTCCATTAACTTATAACTGGAGGAGACTTGTGTGTGACAAGTGGAATATTCTGTCGTGATGTTACTTATTTAGAATTGCGTTGTAGAGCTGGCGGTGTCAGGACTGCTAAACTTATATTCCCTCTCTTACAGTGGATGCAGAGGACCTGTACATTGTAGAACCCCTGAAGTTTTCCCCAGAGAAGAAGGTACAGTAGCTGTGGGAAGGGCAGGAGGAGCTGAGCGTGTTTCTGCCAGCAGGTGGCGCATGTCTCAGCTGCTTCCTGAGCCTCTTCCTAGGCTTGGGTTTTACGCTCCGCTAGCCTTGCAGAACCTAACAGTATCTCTTTTTACTTGTGGTTTCAGAAAAAGCGTTGTAAATACAAAAGTGAAAAAATAGAGACTATCAAGCCAACAACAGAGCCTCTGCATCCAATAGCCAATGGGGAAATTAAAGGAAGCAAGCCGTTTACGAACCAGAGGGACTTCTCTAACATTGGGGAAGTTTATCACTCTTCGCATAAGGGTCCTCCGTCTGAAGGAAGCTCCGAAACGTCATCGCAATCTGAAGAGTCCTATTTTTGTGGCATTTCAGCGTGTACGAGTCTCTGCAATGGACAGACCCAAAAGACAAAAACTGAGAAGAGGGCTATAAAACGAAGACGGTCTAAAGTTTCAGACCGAGGGAAGCTCATAAAAACTCTAATACAGACTAAGTCAGGGTCAATGCCAAGCCTGCATGACATAATCAAAGGAAACAAGGATATAACAGTGGGAACACTTGGTGTCACGGCAGTTTCTGGACACATCTAAAACTAGCTGAACTTCTCAAACAGGAGAGTGTTTGTTCATTTGAGAACAGTCTGTGGTATTCTGTGGGAGGATAGTGGGAGACAAAGAGCTCAACTAATTGGAAAGTATTCAGAAATTTGGTTTCTGCCTTTTAAAATAGATGGGATTGTGTCAATCTTGGCTATAAGCTGCAGCTTTACAAGGCTGATAATTTCCTATGAGAACAGCTTGGGGGGAGGGAGGGCAGGGTTCATTTTATAAAGGTTTTTTTTCACAGTTCCTGGGGCAGAGATTTTTTGAAACCCAGTTTGTTGGGTGGAATAGGGATAAAAGCCTAATCCTCTTCCTTTAGCTTTGTTCCTATTTCTTGCACCTTCCCATATTTATGTGCCTTTTGTCTATTTATAATGCCACTGGAAGAGGGGAGATACAATTGTTTGTCATTTGATTTATTTTGTAATTTCTCTAGCTTTTTTTTGAAGATGCAACACTACAGTGCTGTAAAGGGACATGTGTTGGCCTTCAGCTGGACTCAGTAATGTGGACTGGATACTGTAAAAATACATGGACTAATAGATGGACTTACCTGACTAGATTCTGGTTTTGCAAACTCGGTTGAGGAAAATATCTCACTAGGGGTGGTAATCCTGTTTGTTTCCACCTTCAGTTGCACATCAGAGCTGTAGTCTGATGTGCTAAATGAATTACAGTTGCTAGCCTGTAGGATTTCTGGTGTACGATGGGATCTTACGCTGATGAATGCATTTGTTATCTAAGTTGCCTGCTGTAGTTCTCTGAAGAAAGTGAATGGGGAATGCTCACCGCTTCTGTGCTCGAGAGTTCACCAAAAAGCTCGGCTGAGGAACGCGAGGGCGAGATGGTGCAGCAGGGCCGTTCTCCGAGACAGCTCTGCATGCCTTGAGTTTGCAAAGCCTTGGAGTCTGAGCAGTCAGGTTGGTTCAAAGTGGGTATTTCCATAATGTTTGCTTTTGTATTGGCTAACAAAATGTGCAGTGTTTGTATGGTTGGTATTTTCATATCCAAGTGTTTTTTATTTTGACTGTGATTGTATATTTGGATACTATAGGATGTGTGATTGCTAAAATGTTGAGTGTGTATCTGAGTGAGTGGAACAAAAGGTTATTCCTTTTGGCAGGTGTTACAGGTTCACGTTGTAAAAAATAAGTTAACTTATTGAGCACTTTTAGTGGTACCCTTTTTAACAGATCTAATGCCTTTCCTGGGTATTGTATGTAATGTGACTTATTTAAAGCCTTTGTTTTTTTTGCTGCTTTCTTGTTAGTTTATGAATACTTTAAGGTGATGTACTTTTGGAGTTGATCTGCACAATTAGCCAGTCAGAGCACATGAACCAGACGTGTTGAACAGGAATTCAGAAGGGTTTCAAACCTGGATGAGGAAAATACATACCATCTGAGTGCAGCGTACAATGTTGTGGAACAAGAGTATGTAACTACAGACCTGTAGTGCCATTAGAAACTGTGAATTTCCAAATAAATCTGAACACTTTGTCTTTAATTTATTGGCATTTTTCCTTTGAAAATGAAATGTGTGGCTTAAATTCTTTGAGAAGGACTCAAAGAATTGAGTCTCTAAATTTTAGCACAGGACTGGGGTCCTTTGGGCTATAATAAGGAGTTCATAAACTTGTTTGTTTATTTAAAAAAATAAGTGGTGGGGGTGGGGGGAGGGAAGCTGAAGTGATGCTTTGTCTGAAAGTTCAGGAATTATGGCCATGTAAAACAGCTAGAAAAGTTTCCAGCGGGTATCAGTGCACGACTTGGCCTTGGGGATCCTTAGAAGCAGCAGCTTTCTGTGAGAATGACTGCAGGAAATTACCTCTTGGTAATCAGAGCTAAGGTTTGTGAAGGGTATAAAAGGCCATTAAAAGAAAATGTGAGTCATTTATCATTTCAAGCCAGAGTTTTCAGCTTGAAATTTGCCCCTTACTGGTCCCTTCCTCCTGACTGGTTTCTAGCAAGCATAGTAACACTGCGTGCAGCTGAATGCCGAGTTCAACGGCTGCCCAGCATCAACTCCTGTCAAATGAGACCTCCCCAGCACTAATTTCTCCCTTGAGTGTCTCAAGACTCTTCGCTTCATCATGGGGAGCTCTATGATTTAAAAAGCAATTGGATGTGGTGTTTGCTTGGGGGGTGGGGTGATGTGGTTTTTTTTGGGTGTGTGGTTTTTTGTGATGCAGCTTTTTTATTTACTGGCCTTCGTCTTGATCCATTGCTTGTAGGAGACGTGCTTTCCTTTACTGCCCTGGCAGTCACTGAGCTGCTGTTCTCATCAATAAGAATCAGCTGAAGCTGGATGTGACTGAATTCTTAAAACAACCCATCGTCGATATCTGGCTACAAACCAAAGAGTGGCAGACCTAGAATATGCTGATAGGTGTAGAGTGAGGCCACGTGAGTCATGATGAAATATGCAGACAACAAACGTGTCTCTTAAGAGTGAGGTATTTTTGCTTTGTTCTAGCTGGCACGTAAGCATTGAATGAAAGCGGATTTGGTTCTGAAAGTGAAGTTAAACCCAAAGATGGTGATGGTCATATATATTTATCAAATATACACTGTGAGCGTATAACTTTGGGGCAAGGAGAGTTGCCTCTCCTAGAAGCAGTGGTTCCATGGAGGGTCAGAAACTTTCCTCCTCGTTCTCAACATCAACTATCTGCATCAATACAACAAACAATACGTCCTCCTCACCAACAAACAATACATCAAGTGTATTGTTTGTTTAAAAGTGTTTATGTATGTGTCCCCTTGCTGTGGGAAGGTGATGCTTAACCTTGGGATGAATTCCCTTTTTGCTGGCACTCTTAGAATCATAGAATCATAGAGTCGTCTAGGTTGGAAGAGACCCTTGGGATCATCGAGTCCAACCATCTACCCTACTCTACAAAGTCCTCCCCTACACCATATCCCTCAGTACCGCATCTAAACGTCCCTTAAACACATCCAGGGATGGTGACTCAACCCCCTCCCTGGGCAGCCTATTCCAGTGCCAGCCCACTCTCTCTGTGAAAAATTCCTTCCTAATGTTCAGTCTAAACCTACCCTGTTGGAGCTTTAAGATCTGTTTCATACCCTAGATGTTCATAAGTTTGAGTAGATTGTGCATGTTTAAATTCCAAGCATGCGGTCGACGATATGAAATTAAATGCCTTCTAAAAAGAGTCCTTTAATACCCTGTTCTCTATATATTTTAAAAATTGAGTGTGACTTTAGATCTCAGGAGTTGCTGCATTCTGTGGAAAAATACCAGAGCGATAAAGTTTATAATTTAATGAACACATATGAAACATGCTTTGGGAATAACGCATATCTTCAATGGACAGAGCAGAGCTCTGTGTTGAGAACACGGCTTGAGGCCACATGGTTTGAAATTCACGCTGGAGATGTGGCAGATGCTGAGAGTGGTAGGTAACACAGGGCTGGAAACTTCTTACTCAGGCTCCCTTGTTTCGAGATCATTTTGAGAATGCCTCACAACATTCCCACTTCTGAAAGTGTACCCCCAAATCAATGTAAAGTATAAATGATGTCATGGGCTGTGTAGGTTCACTTTCCCCAAAGCTACTTGTTGTTCCTAAGAAATGCTGCTTCTGGGTTATGAGTCAACAGGAGCTTGTGTGAATTCTGCGGCTGTGATGGGGAACAAAGGCATTGCTCACTGTGCAGACTTCTCTAGTATTTTAAGTATCTGGCTAACAGAAACTTGGTAATACAGTGACAAACGTCAGCCTGGTGAAAAGGGGAGATGTCTGTTGGCAGCAATGACTCCTGTGAATAAAGCACATCTATCAGAGAGTCACTGCTGCTACACGTCAGCCAAGGAGTGACTTTCATATTCTCCTAAGTATGTTACCTAACCATTTCAACTACGTTCAGGTCTAAACTTTCTAATAAAAGCATGGCTTATGCTTCAGCTGCTGAGGAGCCAACACCTGAAGGAACCTATGGAGCTGATAAGGTCTCTGGGGAGACCTTATAGGGCCTTCCAGTACCTGAAGGGGACCTATAGGAGAGCTGTAGGAGGGCTGGAGAGGGACTCTTAGGAAGTGTTAGTCATGGGACAAGGAGTAATGGTTTTAAATTGGAAGAGGGGAGATTTAGATTAGATATCAGGAAGAAGTTCTTTACTGTGAGGGTGCTGAGGCATGGGAATGAGTTGCCCAGAGAAGCTGTGGCTGCCCCATCCCTGGAGGGGTTCAAAGGCCAGGCTGGATGGGGCTTTGAGCAATCTGGTTTAGTGGGAGGTGTCCCTGCCCATGGCAGGGGGTTGGAACTCGATGATCTTTAAGGTCCCTTTCAACCCGAACCATTCTGTGATTGTGCTCTTGCAAACTCGAGAGTGTTTGTTCTGGCAGTAGAGTGGGGATAGAACCACAGCTTCCTCCTGCTGCTGTCTTGCTGCTTTTAATTATTTGTAACCACTTTTTTTTTTTGAAAAAAAAAAAGGCTCTTAATGTCAAATTCTTATTGTTTAATGTTATCCTTTCATGTGGGCTCTTGAGTCATTTTTTACTTCCAGTTTTATTAATGTCACACTGACTCCAGCTTTCAAAACTTGATTCTTTGGTGAAATCAAATCCCTCTTAAATTGGTCATAATCTTTATGTAGAGATAATAGTTTCTAATGAAGACAGCTTCGAAGTCTTGACAAATTGCTGTGGTGTTTTGGATACTTAAAGGGAGGGCCTAGTCTGTCTTGTGACATTACATAATAAAGTCGGGCAGTTCTTGGTGGAAAATGCTAAGAAAAATATTTAAGCAGCACAAATGTTTCTGTGGGAGGATGGATAGTCACAAACATACACATTGTATAAATGAATTAGTACCCATGTTTGCCAAAATGGGTTAGATACATTAGGCATCAGAGTGGAAATAGAATATTTTAAAACTATGCAAACTATACCACCTGTCTGGTGTTGGTAAGTAGAGAAATAAAGTGTTAGGGTGTCTTTGTGTGGCTTCTGCTTTTGCCAGGTTGTGGTGTGAGATGAAACAAGATGGAACAGCTTAGCATGCTTCACTTAATTAGGTACAAATATGTTCCACTTCATTTGGAACGATTAAAGTATAGAGCCCCTGACCACAAAGAGCTGTGGGTAGGCCCATCAAGCAGTGTGTGTGTGTGTGTCTCATCTCCTGGAAACCCTGAGTGTCAAACAGTAGAAATTACTGGGGTTTGTAACAGCTTGAGAAGAATTAGTGTTCCCAGAACTTGTTTAGGTACAACATGTTAGTTTAGGAAAGCATAGTGAAACTTTCTTACGTATCCCTTTATTAATTTAAGAATAGTAATTTTAAAATAAGCTACCAAGGAGCTTTCTGCTGCCTTGCTGCATTTCATTAGAGCCACTAATTAAGTGGCAGATTAGAGGTATGCCATTTGGTAGGGAGTGGAGTTAAAGTTAACGCTGCATTTTGGACCTAGAAACGGAAATTTGTTTGCCACCTTGAGGCATGTTTTTCCTTGGTGGGTTTGGTTTTTTGGTTTGGTTTTTTTTTCAGAAAAATAACTTGAAGCAGCTAATGAATATCTTTGTCATAATTTGACACAGGTACTCTGAAATGTCAAGGTTGTGTACAAGGGCTGTGAAACTACCTGTAGCTCAAAGTGAAATCCCAGGTAAGTCAGCTGAAGGTCCCTCAAGGTTTTAGGAAGTTGGCTGACGTGGGTCAATGGTGTCAGGGGGCTTGTGTAGTGAGATGGGCACACCTGGCATTGGGCTCTCCATATGCCAGACTGATGCTGGAGGGCCTGAATTTGCTTAGTGACACAGGGCTGAGGTGTGATCCTGGTGGAACTCAGTAAAGATCTGAAGGTAGATACTGGGGAATGGGGGTGGTTGGTTGGATTGTTTTTTTTTGTTGGTTTTAGTGTTGTTGCATGGGGGGCTGTTTTTTGTTTGGTTTATGTTTTGTTGTTTGGTTTTTTAATGGGCTGAGAAATTCTACTCTTTCTTGGGAGCAGTTGAAGACCAACTAGGCCAGACTGGCCAGCAGAGCCAGCAGACATCTTCCAGGGCCAAGGCTGGCTTTGTGCTGGCAGTCTGGCCTGGTGCAGGGCATGGGTCCTGCTGAAGAGCTTGCGATTGCAGTTTTTTGAGAGTTCTTTTGAGTCATTGAGAGGACAGGAAATTGACATCTGCATATTCTCTGTGGTCTTCCTTGCAACCTCCAAGTGGCCACAACCATTTGTTCCATTTTCTCCCTTGACTTAAGCTATTGTATGTTACAAAATTAGCCGCTTCTCTTCTTCTCGGATGTTCGTGCAATAAATCCCATTACGCCATAGCCACTCTACCTCATCTTCTTGCTCTGATTACGGACACAAAAAAATAAAATCTTACTCTGCTGCTTTCAATTCTTCCTCTTCTTCTTCAGCTGCTTTGGCTCCTTCCCTGCTTGGATTCTCTCCTGCCTCAGGTCAGAGCCCTGTACCTCTTCTGCTGAACCCAGGGCTGCTGGCTGTGTGTTGGGATCACGGTGAGGGAGAGAACAAAGCACCTTCCCTATGGAAGAGGGCCATATTAAGCACTGCAGCCCCAGGCCTGACCTATCAGAAATTGATTTTGAAACCTGCTCTTGAGAGTGAATACGTGAATACCTCCCTCTTGAGCTCTTGGCACTGAGACACGGCTTTACGTGTGCTTCTAGCAAATGGAGCAGTTGTTGAGGAAATGAAAAGCATCACCTTTGTCTTCGGAAACCAAACTGTTAAAAAAACATGTAATAAAGAAACAACAAAAAGATGTCAGTGCTAACTGCAAAGGCTGTGTGGGTTCTGGTATCTTCCATGCCCCTCGAAGACATCAGTGAATGGAGATCACGCTACCTTTGGAGGCAGTTCTCACAAGCATCCATTCCAGTGTTCAGTCAAAAATCGAGGTCTTTTCTGCACAAACTCCTTCAGCTTTGGCTGCCAGTTTGTGGCTCCCTGGGAAGGCTTTTTTTTTTTTTCCCTGTGAGATTCAAGAGCCGTCTGCTGCTGGACATTGTCCCTCTGTATATAGATTTTTCACACATTGTCTGTCCCTCCCTGCCAGTCTGCTCTTGAATGGACCAAATTGAATGCCTTTGCGGCCCAGCAGTTATTGCAACTTATTCCTGAGCCCCTCTGAAGTTGAACATAAACTTGCAATGTGGGTTCTGGGACTGTCTGTAGCTGCCTAGTGCTATATATGACCTTGTACCTTTGGGAGCACTTGAGCTTTCCCTGCTGAAGCTCATGTCTGTCTGAGTAGCCTCAGAACTGCTTTCTTTCTAGGATGTTACTTTCTTTTCCTCCGCTGACTAATATGCTTAAATTCAGCAGGTCGCATATTATTTTCTATCTATCCTAAAGAGTTTGACTTGCAGTCTTTGTTTCTAGGCATGTTTTCTTCTGATTAAATTCTCTGTCCTCAAGGTGACTTCCGATCTCTTACCGCTTACTTTAATCTGCAAATATTACTGGTGTAATATTTTGCTTGTTTTTCTCCAGCTCTGTGGTAAAGGTGTTGAAATGACACTGTGTTGAGGACAATCCCCAGAGGAAAATCATCAGAAGCCCTGGATGGTGCTCTCAGTTACTCTTTCCACTGCACCCATCAGTTGAGTGTTAATGGGTGCCATCTCTCCTGCCAGCTGTGGCTGATGCTTACGGGGTTAGCTCTGGTAGCACGCTTCAGCCTGGGACCACAAAAGGTTGCTGAGGCTGTTAATATCTTAAGTTCGTGCTTGAATCCTGTTTTTGTTGAATGCGAATGGTGTTTTTTTTATTATTTTTTCAACTACTTCATTTGTTCTTGGGTGTAATTTATGCAGTCTTGTGGGCTTTCGAGAGTTGCTTTTTAGCATTTCCACTAGTCACTGGTGTAATAGGAAATATTTGTAATCACTTTCAGACAGACGCATATCCGACTCTGTCCAGAACCTGATGAGAGCCTCTCCTACTCAGTGGTTAACATTTATTATTTTTTAAAAACTTTCTGTCAAGTACTAGATCTAGATCGTTGCTCACGTTCTGCTTTCTTTCATGTATTTCAAGAAGGCCATCCTTTTGTCCTTAAATCTACTGACACAAACTTGCTGGTTGGTTCTCGGTGCTGTCACAGTGAACTTTTGGCATAATAGTGTGCACTGTTGTTAAAAGCTCCCTCCCACGTTTCCTCTGGGGGTGAGGTAGGGATGGAGAAGGTTCTTCTAAGTAAATCCTCTTTTGCTGTCTGTGTAACAGTGGCTTGCTTGTTGTTGGTTTTGGCAGAGGGGATCACTTTTTTGATCAAAGGGCATGGAAAGTGTTTCCATTTGAAAATACTACCTGGGGTTCAAATGCCTGATGAGGCTGCTTTTTAGCAGGGTGTGGACATCTTGCAGAGTGGGTGAAGAGTGGGAGAGGCAGGGAGACAAAACTGATGCCCCTTTTATCCTTCTTATGTCCTCCTTTCCTATCCAGCTGTCCTTGCCCCGTATTTTAGGAGACCTCAACCTTGTCTAAGTGCTGGTTCTAGGTTTTCTAGCAAAATAGACTCATGTGATTTACTTGTCCATTTACAGCAAACTGTCCTGCTATTATTTTTAAAAGCGCCGTTACCATTGTGTGTCACTTGAGCAATGGGAAGCCAGCAGAACACAGCCTGCAGGCATCACAACGTGTGACACAGACACAGCCCCAGTTGCCACTGTCTTCCAACGTGTATCATCTTGGTGATCTCTGAAGGTGCTGACAGGGGAAATGGAGTGCGACGAGAGGACCGGCACAGCAAAGACTACTAGGTAGGGAAAGGCCTCTGAAAGCATGTTGTGCACCAAAAATGATCCTTTGATGGTAAAATAGCCCCAATCTTTTGCTTGCCACAGCGTGTGGTATTAGGAGACTCTTGATCTGAGCATCTGAAAGAGAAGATGCAGGAAATACGGCTGAAATGGTTTTCATTGATTTCATAGTCTCTGCCTTCTCACCCACCTGTAAAAAAAAAAAAAGGCATCTTTGTGAAAATAGGAAGCAGTGGGTGAGACATAAGTACATTTCTGACATTTAAGGGAGACTGCTCCTGTGCTCACAATCCCACCAAGATAAGCTGTTGGCATTAAGAGTGTCAGAAAAAAAGTTGAGAGAGGATCCTCTCCAGACAAAGCTCAATGGCTTTTGACATGCTTATCAGCAACGCCTCCAACTCTGAGGAAGTCCTGGGCTTCAGTCTCTGCTCCCTAAGCCACCATTGTACTTTACAGCAGCTCAGCAGGCCACAGAGGGCATTAAGGAAAGGGAACTCCCTGACACCCATGTCTGTGTTTGCAAAGAGCCAGAGGCACGCTGTGCTTGCTGCCCTGAGAGAAAGGGGTTGCTGCTCAGGAGGGGTGGTGGAGAGGTGTTTGCCCAACCGTCCTGCTGCCTCCCTTGGCTCCCTGCACCTTGGAGGCACCTCTTTCTCCATGCCCAGCGCTGACTGGCAGGCTGGAGTTCACCACATGGCATGGTTGGTGTGGAGCTGAGCCCAGCCCTTTGTGAGACCCTCTCTTCTAATGACTGTAGGAGTGGATGTGTGTCCTCAGGCTGGCTGGGGAGCACCATTCTGGGATACAGAGGAGGACTGAGTTGAGGGTAGGCACGACCAGGCTTCAGCTGGATTTATGTTGCTTTTGTGTCTTTTATGTCAGAAACCTAGAAGTATGAGGAAGAGCCAGACGAGTTGCTGAAACCTCTTGTGCTGCGGATCACGGCTGCAGCAAACGGCTGTGGTGAACATCTTCAAAAAGCAGTGAGGTGTCTGGTGGTGCAGGCAAGGCTTTGAGGACACGTCTGACTTACTGGTGTGGTTGGAGGCAAAGCTGAGCCCTTGCTATGGGGAAGCAAGCATGCATGCGTTGTTAAAGCTTGCTGTTCTCAGACCCCACTTCTGATGTTCAAGATCAAAGCCAGCACCCTGGGATCACTTTCTTCAGCCACAGATGAGACAATCTCTGGTTTGTTCTTGTATTAAGTATTTCATTTTTTTCAGCACTACCCCAAACAAACGCACACATCTGTGTATGTCTGTAAAACGGAAGAGCAAACTGCTGTGTGCACCTCCAAATCTGTGGGAAAATCTTACTGCCACCGCTTAGAAATCTGCAGTCAATGAGGAATGGAAATTGAGGGAATGGAAATGTCTGTGTCTCTCCTCATTATGATTTGGTAGTAAGCTCTTATGAGTGCTGGTCCTTGCAGCATGGTCTGAATTCTGGATCCTTTCTTGGAAGGCAAGATAAATTTTACCAAAATGAGCAGCACGGTGCATACCCCAGGCTTTAATCACAAGTTATTCAGCCAGGTTAGCTCCTGCTACAATGCTCAGCATTGTTCTGAAGCAATGACAAAAAAGACCTTCCCTCTCTTAGGCTTATTCAGGTTAGAATCATAAAATGGTTAGAGGTGGAAGGGATCTTAAACATAATTCAGTTCCAACCCTGCTGCCATGGGCAGGGACACCTCCCAGTAGACCAGGGTTACTCAAAGCCCCATCCAACCTGGCCTTGAACACTTCCAGGGATGGGGCATCCACAGCTTCTCTGGGCAACCTGTTCCAGTGCCTCGCCACCCTCACACTAAAGAATTTCTTCCTGAGATCTAATCTAACCCTTTCCTATTGCTACGCTCTCTGAAAAAGAGTCTGTCCCATCTTTCCTGTAGGCCTCCTTTAGGTATTGGCAGAGGACTGTGGTATTGGAGATATTTGTGGTATTTGCAAAGGTAAGAGGGACACCAGAAGCTGCTAGAAGAACCTGCTTGTGGCCCAAGGCACTGTGTGTTTCACACATTACAGCACGCTGATGGTTCAGCCTGGCCAGTGCCCTGCAGTGATTTGGTGTGGGTGAAGGCAGCCCACTGAGCCAGCTCTACTTGGGCTGTTAACACTGGGGCAGGTCTGCTGAGGCTGCAGGATGGACAATTTGCTCCCAACCTCTTCTCAGTTAGGCTGGTTTTTTTTTATCACAGTTGGACAGTGTCTCTGACCAGTGTTTTGTGACGCAGGATCCATGCCTTGTGGAGCAGCCAAGGAAAAGGTGGGATGTGCAACAGACAGCAGTAAGTAATTTGTTCCCTGTGAAGCGAAGCAATTCCCCAGCAGCCACATCCTTCACTTGGGATCAGGTCTTCATCCTTCTGCCGAGGGGAGAGCCAGAGCTGAGGACTCCTCCCATCTTGCACAGGCCACCAGAGGTTTTGTCCTCTGCTCGTGGTCCAGGACACCACAGTGGAAAAGCAGCTGCCTCTGCCCGAGTGGGCTGCTGGAAAAGGTGGTTGGCTGGTGGGTGTGCGCCGGGCTGATTACTCAGCCCCCGACTGGCAGCACAGCCCTTGCGTGTGCTCCACAAGCACTTTGTCACTGAGTGTACCTGCTTCCCCAGCCCGGCCACCAAGCATGGTTTTGTGTGAGCAGAGTCTGCTGCTCGGGCTGCCCCGCTTTGTGTGTGCGCTGCCACGGTGTGGGAGGAGCAGGCGGCTGCCCCGAACTTGCGGAAGCTCTTTGAGGTTTGCTGTTAATGCTTGAGGCTTTCATAGAGCTGCAGCATCTGAGCTGGGTGTTCACTGCTGGAGTGATGCAGGCGTATAAAGGCAGAGCTGGGTCTTCCCCTGGGGCTCTCTCTGGGACAGCCCCGGCAGTTTTTGGCTGCCATATGGAAGATCACACCAAGCACGTCCAGTCCATCCCGCTCCCAGCCATGCAGCAGAACTTGAACTACATGTACCCACAGATCTTTTGGGTGGACGGCTCTGCCAACACAAGTACTTCCTGTCCCCCGGCACCCCCCGTCGCTCCTTTCCCACCACCAGTGCCTGACCGGAGGAGAAAGCCAAAGGACAGAAACAGGGAAAGGAGGAGCACTGGCTTCCTGGTGATATCCTTGCTGATCCTGCTGGCCCTCACTGGAGTGGGACTGAGCATGTTTCAGATTTTCCACCTGGAGAAGCAACTGGCTGAACTCAGAGAGGTGAGGTCTGGCTGGCTGGTCGCAGGGGCTCTGGGGACACGGGAGGGGGAAAAAAAAAACCCAACCAAACTTAAAATTGGGTATGAGATGTTCAGGTGGTGCAAAACTGTCTAAGGGGCAGGCTGGTGGCATTCAAATCTCTGCCATGCCAGTGTAAGTGGAGTGGCTTATTACTGTGGGGGACTGCTGTATTGGTGACTGGTAGATTTGGATGTCTTCATGCTTAGTGCTGTGAGGTCTCTGTCCCTGTATATTTCTTAGCACTTTGCAGCTCCCCATGAGCACCAAGAATGATCTGCTGTCAAAGATAGTCCTTGGCTGCTTTAGGTGATGTCCTTATGGTCTCACTCTGCTAAGACACCTTGTCACTCTTCTCTTTTTGACAGTCTACCAGCACTGAACACATCCCTCCAGCTTTGGAGAAACTCATAGGTGAGTTGATGTATGTAAGGGAGGAACTCCTCTGTGTTAGCATGTATGAGTGCTCCTGTTGAACTCATGTCTCCTCATCATGGGGGGAAAGACAGGATTGCAGCTCGATGCTCTAAAAGTGCTGATTTCACTTGCTTGGCTGGAAAAAGAGCTTTATCTCTGGGGTGTGAGGATGTGTGTCCTGCACCCTGCCTGCTGGAGTGCTTAGAGGTGTCAGCCATGGGCTCCTGGGGCAGCGTGCCTCTACCTTGGGGCCTCCCAGGCCCAGTGGGGTGACTGTACTGGGGGTACTCTGCTGTAAAAGTGAGTTTCTGGCTGTCCTAATATATAGCAACAACATGAACAGGGGAGCCAAGTTGGGTGCCACACGTGTGTCTTTCTCTCCTTAGTCTTTTAAGATTTTGGGAGGGTGCAGAGGGTTTCGTTTTCTTTGGGGGTGGGGGATTCACTCACACTCTTGAGAGTGCAATTTTTTCCTAAACTATTCAGTACAAGGTCTCACTGCAGCCAAAGTTAGTTGAGAAGAGCCTGGGGGGGTTTTCTTTTAGAAATGTCATTCCAGTGAAAGTAAAACTTTCCACAAGAACCTGCCAATTTTTCTAAATTTCATTTAGGGAAAAAAACCAAAAGAGTTTCAATCTGAATGGAACAATTTAAAAATCTTATTTTGAACTTCCAAACTATTATTTTACTCTTACATTCCATGTTAATGTTATCAGTGCGGATATCCCTTTTTAAAGATGGCAAAGTCAGAAAGACATTTTCAGCTCTCTTGACAACTTTTACTAGATCTGGAAAGATATTTATTTTCCCATGAGGATTTTTGTTAGTAGGAAAGTTAATTTCATTTCAAGTTTGTTCTGATACTGAATGAAAGCAAATTTGGAAGTAACAAAACTCTCTGGAAGGAGCAGTCCTGCTTCCCAATAGCTCCCATATCAATAAATTTTGTAATCTGGTGCTTAGGGGAAGGGGAACTGTCACTTTAACTGGGTGCTCAGTGCTCTAATCACTGGCTACTTTAGCAGTAGCTGAACATAAGTCTTAAATAGTAACCTTGAATTTCTTGAGGGGGGGTGGATAAATAAAGCAAGCTGGGGAAATAGTGTAAAAGAGAAGGGAGAGAAGAAAGGAAAATTTAAGTGGCTTGAGAAAAGAAAAGGCTGCTTCTAAAATTTGGGAAAATGGTGCTTGGAAGAGAAGAAAGGAAGGATGGAGTGGGATGGGACCCAAATACTGAGTCACTGTAACTGGCCCGTCTCTCCAAGGGGAACTGAGCCTTGGGGAAGGCAAAATTTTCCCAGCTGTGCTCTGGCTCTCTAAGGAGAGGGTCTACCTGGCCACCAGGATGGCTTGCAGGATGTCTCAAGTGTCTTCTCTGATCTAGTAGTAAGGAGGGTTGGTACTCGGCAGACAGAAGTCCACTGCCAGGGGTACATCTGCCCTCAGCAGTGCTGGACTGAGGAGTGGCAATAGAACAGGCTCATCTACGATGGGGCAAGAGCAGTCACCTTGGCATGGGCCAAAGATGCTGGGTAAAAGGGAAATATTGTCCCTCTCCTACACCCTGACTGAGAGGCCTCTGCTTGAGCTCACCAACTGAGCCATTTTAAGATGAAAGCTCTCCTTGCCTCGACCCCTTGCTTTTGATCACATCTGGATCCTTTGCTGTAACTCTTCCATTTTAACTCCTTCTCTTGCCCTGCAGTGTTTGCCCAAGCACCTCACTGTACGAAGCCACGGTGCTTACATGCCCTGTCCTGGTCTGAATCTGCCCCATTTCAGCTTCTTGGTTGGCTCCCTTCTGCTCTCTGGGCTGGCTTCTCCATGAAGCATATGGCTAACATCTTCCCTATTTTTGTGCAGGGCAGAAGGAACAACCAATGAAAAAGGAAGCGAGGAAGGCAGCACACTTAACAGGTACGTGCCCAGGGGCCAGCAAGATGTGGGAGCAGAAGATAGGGTAGACGTGGCTGAGGTGAGAGGGTGGCATGGTTGTAGTTGTGAGGAGCCCACCTCACACTGGCCTTCCTGTTTTCCTTTCGTAACACATGTGCTCTGACAGCAGGAAGTTACTCCACAGCTAAAATATTCCCCCCATTTACACTTTTCAGTGAAGGCTCTGCTTTTCATTTGTTTTTTGGTTTGTACCTGGGATATGAGGGGTGGAAGGTGTCAGAAGCAGCCGGCGTTGAGCGAGGTGAAGGTGAGAGCTCCCACCAGCACAAGGTTGGGGCGGACTTTCCATGCTGCAGACAGGGGCTTGGAGAAGAGTTGACTTGTGATGTGGGGTGTGACTTGAGGAAAAAACACACAACTGCTTGTACTTACTGTGCTTTTTCTCTTGTTTTTGTTTCCAGGGAACCCTGACCAGCGGGATCTCCCTTTGGAGTGGGAACCCACCTCCGGCCATGCCTTCACCAACGGCATTCAATACCGTGATCACGGGCTCATCATCAATGAGACCGGCCTGTACTTTGTGTACTCCAATGTGCTCTTCAGGGGCAGTGTCTGCAGCAGCCAGGCGTTGAGCCACGTCGTCTACAAGAAAAACCCGAGCTCACCAGGAAGCTATGTGCTGATGGAGGACAAAACCATCAACTACTGTATGGGTGAGAAAATGTGGGCCCGGCAAAGCTACCTGGGAGCTTTATTCCAGCTCAGGAAGATGGACAGTTTGTATGTCAACGTCTCCAAAATTGCTCTGGTTAATTTTGAGGAATCCAAGACATTCTTTGGCTTATTTAAGCTTTAAATGGGGCTGCTTAGAGCATGGCTAGCAGCCTCATACACGCACACTATGTGTACGTGAGGGGCGAGACCTGCCTGAGTGGCAGCTGCCAAGCCAGGGTCTTGCACCACAAAGCCCACCAAGAAACCATGTTTTGGCCTTCAGTGTGAGAGGGGTCAAGCAAGGTAAGGGCTTGAAAGTGGACCTCTGGGAAGCACCAGGGCTGTACTGCATCAACCTGAAGAGAATTGCACATTTTCCCCCTCCGAAAAACACAACAAACTCAGAATATTGTGTGCTGAAGACCTTGTTGAAACTCACTACTTACTACCTGAGAAGATGCTGGTGCCAGGGGCCTCACTTGGTGTCACAGCTCTGGTGAGCTTGGGCCAGCAGGTGTGCAGAGACAGCTGGCGAGTGCCGAGGAGGCTCCTCGAGCTAGGCCTGAAGGTGCCTGAGCCATGCCATGCCCCACCACATTGCAGGCAGTGATGTGGAAACAAAAAGCACAGAGGCTTCAGCTGGCCGCTCTGAGCCATGGCTGGCCACCCTGCCTGGGCATTTAGCACCGTGACTGCTGTACAACAGGCACCTTCCCACAAGCGGGCTCATTATGTGTGATATATGTTTTTTGTGTGCTAAGTTATCGACTGTTCCCATCCCAGAAGATGTCCCCCAACCCCTTTATTTAACTCATCCTGACCGCCTTGCAAGGAATATGTCAGAAGGAGCCCTGAGAGGAGCTCCTGACTCTGGAGAGAAACAATGACTGTGCCATGGTTGTGGGGCTGCTGGGGAGGCCACGTGTTCTGCTGACAGGACCTGAAAAGCGCGGTGATGGAGGACAGTGGGGCCTGAGATGAAAGCAGCATCTCCAACCACCTTCCTGCCCTTTTTGATCCATCAACATCCCCCATGCAGACCTGGTCCTGCCACTGCCTGCATGGTGCAGGTGAGAGCGTGCTGGCCATCATCAATGTCATAGCTTCAGGTTTCCCTCTTGTCGTGGGATATGCTCTCATGAGCAAAACACAAATAGTAAATAAAGGTATATTTTTCTAGTAAGTGGCACTGTCTTCTCCTCATTTGGGGCAGTAGGCTTCTGCAATGGCCAAAGTCCTGGAGGCCTCTGTGATCAGGGGCCAGCACCTCACTCCTTCTCCAGAAGCATGGCAGAAATCTGGGAGCCTGACGCCACTTCCTTGCCTGCTTGGTGGGGCACAGGGTCTCTGCCATGGAGCTCTGGGGAACTGATCTCAAAACACAAGCTTGACCTTGAGTGGAGCTGGATGCTTGTTGCTTAGCAGAAGTGCTGCTGTCCCTAAAGGCACCAGGCTTCTCCGTGTGCCCTCTGGCCTGAGCAGTACTTCCCGCATGGCAGCCTGAAGGGCAAGGAAAGGAAGTGGCACTTTGGTGTTAAAAAACCCCACCCTTTTCTCACTCTATCTGCTTCGTGGAACTCTTCCCTTGTATGGGTTAACCCCAGGGCTGTCTGCTGTATTTCCACTGGGCAGTGACACGGTTTTCCATGGGTTTTTTGTGGCTCAGGTTCATCGTCATCTTTGCCTGTGGTCCAGGCTTCTTGCAGCTCTGATGTTGGCCACAGTGAACAGTGGCTCTTCAGCAGCCTGCAGTATTTATTTCCTTTTCCACGGTGCAGCTCTCAGCTCGGTGGTGTGTGGCCTGTGGTTTGGTGCTGCTTGCTTCAGGGAAACCTATTTCTTTGAAACTTGGAAGTGGACTGGCTACTGGTGTGGTCAGCATGAAGTGAACCTCTGCTCACACAGCTGATGCTGCGCTCAGGTATTTCCACTGGTTTTCTCAAGATGGAAAATGCCTCGAACTTCAAAGTTTAGGGACCTTCCCGCTTGATAAATGCATTCTCACTGTCCCCACTCCCTTCTAGCATCAGACGGGCGAATCACATAGTGCAGGGATGGAGGTGCTGGATCCAGACCCTGCCAGGAAAGCCTGGAAGTTGCTACCCTCTTCTGATTGCTTTTTTTGTGCTGTGTTGCTTTCCAAGTGACCAGGCATCCAAGTGGCCAGGCTCCCAAAGGTTTCTATAAGTTAGCAGCCAGTTACTCATCTGGACTGTGAAGAGGGTCAGCTCTGGGGCAGAATGTGGCAGCTGCTATTGCTGCACATCAGGAAGAGGCGAGGATCTGTCAGGGTTATTTATCTGAAATGCTAAAGGCAATGCATCTGCGGGTTTCAGATACAGGGGCACAGAGAGGCGGACAGTCATGTTATAAATAGTTCTAGGAGCTCCTGAGGTGGACAGAGCAGGCTTATCCTCAAAGCTAGGTGCTGCTAGGCTTGCTCCTGAGTCAGAGAGCAGCTGTGACTGTCTTGAGTCGGTGTCACGGCTGCCGGTAAGACTCGCGTTTCTGCTTTGTGATCCCTTCCTCAAACATCACCCTAAACTGCCCAAAGTCAGTCCGCTACTTAGTCTGTGGGCTCTGAATACAGTCTCGAAGTAAGGTTGTGACAGGATTATACAATTTCAAACCGCAGAGTCAGTTCGTAGACTGCTCATACCGCAATGGCTTTAATAAAGTCATCTCTTCAGCTAATGAGCAGTGCATTTAGTGAAGTACTTATTGTTACTATTAAATACTTAATGAATATTTAATGCTGCTATTATTAACAGCTCATGAGCTATATTTAAAATTATTTAATAAAAATATTCAAATTATTGATGTTTATTTTTAAATTATCAAGTATTTTGTCCCTCCCCAGCAAGGGAAGGGTGTCTGCACTAGAAAGGATACCTCAGCTCCGTCAGTAGGGCTGGCCATTGCGATGTGTGGGGGTTTTTTTTCCTGTCTTGAGGAAAACAAGTGACTCTTACCTGCAGGTCATGTTTCTGGGTTCCAGTGGTCTGAGCTGATCTCTCTCCTGCTGGAGCAGGCTGGGCTGTGGAGGTACCCGAGGGCTTGGGGCCACAGGGCCCTAGAGAGACTCTCCTCTGTGGACAACAATGGCTGGCAAGAAGTGACAAGCCCAGATCATCTCCTGATAAGAGTTTTCTGGTCTGCTCCCACTGGCTGGGGGTCTTCTGGGATTTATAGCCTTTCTTCCCAGGCATAGGCATACTTTTCTACGTATTCCAGCCTGAGGGACGTGGCCAGCACTGAACCAGCGGGTGCCTTGCAGGAATGCAGACAGCTCTCGTGGTCAGCTGTACCCTTTCCAGGAGATGCCTGTCCCCTTGGGTGTGCAGCTGGCCAAATGAGGGTTCTGCTTGACATAGGAACATTTTTGCTGCTATGTAGCCGAGAACAGCGAGCTGCTTGGTAGAGATACGGCCTCGTTTGTGGTTGATGTTTATCAGATGGTGCATCCTATTTACCTACCCCGGTGGAGGAGAGGGGAGAATGGCATTCTAGTGTCTTAAAAACCTTGGGGTAGGGTCCGCATAGGGACAGAAGGGACTGCATTCATAGAAAGGACTGTATGGATAGTGTCATTGCTGCTTCTACAGCAAAAGTGCAGTGCAAGCAAAGGGATGCCCAGTGAGCCCTGAGAGACAGAGTATAAGCAGAGAGTGAGGCAGGATGAGCAATGAGCAGGGCTGGTGTGCGATGGGTGCTGTTTCTCACAGATCTGTGGAGATGGGAGGTGGTGGGCTGGCAATCAGCCCTGCCAGTGCCTGCGGCAGCTCTGCTTTGCCCAGTGGAGAAACCCCAGTCAGAGGAGAAGAAATATTCCCTAGACTTCTGTGGCCAGCAATCCTCATATCAATACCGCATATTGCATCTGTGCATGCTGACTCTTTACCAGTCCGTGGTCAGTCGTGATGGGGAGGTGACTGGTGCACAGCAAAGGCCTGAAGAGCTCCTGTAATGCAAAAGCAGAAAGAACAGTTGCTCATCTCCAGCTGATCCCTGGCATGTGCTGAGGCATCAGGGTGTCAGAGGCAAGAAACACAACGTGGACTGGCTCTCAGCAGGCTTGCTCGGATACACATCTTGGCTCAGAAACCTCACAGCTTAGTTGTTGTATTTGGTTGGAACTGGAACTGTTGCGATGTGTTATACGTGACGGTTTCTGTAGCCCTCCCAGGGAGAAGACAGAGCGTGAGTAAGAAGGGAAGAATTGATATGTCTGAAACCACTCAAATCCTGTGAGAGTTCAGACAGTAATCTTCTATTTGATCTGACAAGTTTCACTGTTGCTTCGGTTGGTTATTTGGGGGTTGATTTTTTTTTTGTTTGCTTATTCATTTACCTGAAGCCAGCCTTGGGCTTCCTAAGTTTCTGTTAAAGTATCTTGTGGGTTTACTTCTTCCAGCCCATGGAGATGTAAAGACTCTGCCAAATTTTTATTAGGTTGGGAAGGAGCATTGCCTAGTGGTTAGAGAGGGGAAAAAAAGGGAAGGGAGGTAAACTTAAATATTGCTATTATTTTTCTAGGACTCTGACATGTGGGTTTGTTACATCATGGTTTCTAAAGTGTAATTTTAGGCATGACTAAGTGACTGAGGTTTAATGTGAAAGAGAGGATGAAGTGAGTAAAGAGGAGTTCTGATGTAAGGTGAAGCAAGTGCATGTGAATTTCTTGTTGATTTTAATTAAAAAAAAAAAAAAGCTTGACAACTTGTTGCTGATTCATCTCTCAAGGTAACACGGAGAGTCATATGTTCCGTTCCCTGCACGTGACTGAAGCCCTGACACAGGAGACCTGGGACTGCAGGCTGTGGTGCAGGAGACTTCTGACAGTGTCTGCCATGGTGTCTTCTGATGCTGAGTTCCCTGGCCCCTGCCTGTGGTGTGACCAGCAATGCTGCTTTAGGATGCTTCTCGTGGGCACTGTTCTGGCTCATTACCCCTGCCAGGATACTGCCAGTTGTGTGAACAGGCACTTAGACTTTCTGTTGTGAAGACTCAAGTTTTTTGAAAATAAGCTGCTCTTTCCTCTGGGTAGCAAAGAGACGGAAAGCTCTAGATGGAATAGCAAATCCCAATGTGGTTTCCTCTGCTCCAGTTGTGACACCATTCCTCAGCACGCTCTGTAGGACCCGGCCCTCTCTACGGAGAATCAACTTCTCTTCCCCACTTACAGTCATAGAGATTTTAAATCTATCTCTCTTTTTCCCATATTCCACAACCAGCTTTCTCCAACAACAGTTGAAAAAGTCTCCTTGCCCAGTTTCCATTTGTTGTAGGGTATCCCTCCAGTTTTCCTTTGTCAGGTCATTCTTGGGGAGTGAAAGCCTCCTTGGCCAGCTAATTCCTTGGCATGTTCAGCTTGGAAACCTGTGCTGGCCAGGGGAGTAGCTGGCCTTTTAAGCCATTTGAATGACTATCAAAACTGGACTGTGTGCTCTCATGAGCCCTGTGGTGGGGATATGTGTTTCTCCTGGTGTTGCTAGTGAGGTTTATGTCAACACAGAGGCAAAAGATTTCACAAAAAGACATCAGAGAGGGAGACTTGTTTCTCCCAACTGAAACAGTCTACAAACTAGCTGTTCATGCTGGAGGTGCAATGCACATGAAGTTCCTTAAGCAGAGTGTAATGTGTTTATGGCTGGTGCAATTCTCAGCTATCAGAGGTCAACCAAAAAAACTGGTACAAGCTCCCCAGTCTCAGCACAGGCTCCAAAAGATGTGCTGACGGAGCGGCTTGCTACCATTCTCTTTATCCGTGTTCCCTGCTAAGGTTCCTGCAGGGAGAATAGGTGTCTGAGATTTGGCTTTCATTAAAGACCCAAAAAAAGAACTCCAAACAATAAGCAATAATAAATAAGCAGCAGAAGTGTGTTGTTGCAGCCTTCACCATGTTCCTTGCTGTTGTGCTCTGGAGTTGGTACTGCATGTCCTAGCCATCAAGCAGTCCTGCCAGGCTGTGTGCAGCTGTGCCTGTGCACTGCTTTGCTGCTGAGAGCTAATTTAAGGGGTGGACGTGGCAGGGAGTTATTGTGGCTCAGCCAAATACTGTCTGTTAGCAGAGCTGTGGCCATAGCAAACACAAAATTTTTATCAAAGCCTTTGAAGTTTGGGGGTGGAGGGGCGTTTCTTCCTCCTGCTTGCAGCTGCA